AAGAAAGAAAGAAAGAAAGAAAGAAAGAAAGAAGGAAGGAAGGAAGGAAGGAAGGAAATGATGTAAATACAGCACTCACATGTGAAATTCTCCCAAAATATTAAAATTTAAATAAAATAAAAGAATGAATCATTTCTCAGTGAGAAGATGTTAAGGGCTACAACATGCAAAATTGTGTCTCTTATGAGACCCCAAAGAAGTGACAAATAGCCCTCAGTATTGTAATGGCTCCCACTGGCATCCTTTCTTCAGAACAGATTAATTACCTCTCCAAATCAGAGCAGATTCCTTTAGAATTTATTGTAAACATAAACCTCAGCCCAATTTCTGCCGAAGTAGACATAAAGTAATCCAAATAATATCAGCAGCTACCCCTTATGTATATAGTGTTTACAATTTGACTGGTGCTGTTCTGAAACCCTGCTTTATGGATGAAAAAGCTGAACTGCAGAGAAATCAAGTGATTTCCTCAAGACCAACCACAGAGCTCATATAGACAGTGCACGGTGAGAAGTCTTGCCCTGTCTGTCTACCTCCATAGTCCCTACAGGTAACCACAGGCCCTTACTGCTTCTAGAAACTCAAAGTAATGCAGCTCAAGGTTCCAAGTGGCACTTATTATTAAAATACTCTCAAAAAAGATTGATCATTTATGTAGCAGAATATAATTCCCTTTCTGATTTTACTTGACAAAATGAAATAATAGAGGCCAGCGGCTACCATGACATTATTTTACAAAGTTAAAACATTACCTCAGATCTCTAGCCTTAGATTGCAACTGCAACTGCAATACCACATGATCTGCTGCTTAGAGGTACTTTAAAATATCCTTCTGCCTATAATTGGAACCAGCTTCAACCTTAAAATTGCCCCGCGTTTTCTATAAATGAAAAGCAGTTGTAAACTCTAAGAATTCATGATATTGCCAGCTTTGCTTATTTATTAAATCACCAGTCTGATTTCTCTTTTTTTCCTGCAGATAGTTCAACTGTTTGGAACTAGAAGGTTTTTCGAGATAGGCTCACACTATGTAATTCTGGCTGGCCTTAAATTCACAATCCTCCTGCTTCAGGCTTCCCCATGCTGGGTGTCATCACAACTATATTCTAAATGAAATCTCCCATACAGTTCCAACAGTCTCAACTAAGCAGAGCCTGGTGCTTTGGTTGAAGTGGAAGGGGAGTCTCCTACTCCCTAACATCCACCCCCATGTTCTTAGAAGGCATGTCCCTAGAACTTTAGAGTCCTAGAAATATGTAATAGAAAATTACATTTTAGAAAGACTGAGCAACTTTCCATGTGCATTTATTTGGAACACCTTAGAATTCTTTGAGTGATACAATATGAAGTGATGTCCTCTGGACCTAAATCAGAAGACTTCACAGGGTCTTAACTCTTCTCCAGAAACTGAAAGGGAGAAAATTTCACAGAGCTGAAAAGGACATGCTCCATGCTTGGCAAAAGGAAAACAAATGGGTCACAGAAACACAAAGAAAGGTCATTTCCAACCTAACTGCTAGAGGATAAACAGTAGTCACATATGCTTAACTGGGAGTAAGAGTTGATTTTTTTTCTTTATTCCTCTGTGCACTAGAAACACAAGTAAAAGAATACATATACCTAGGTCTTTTGCAGGTAGAGAACTATAGTTATAATGCAGGATAAACAAAACCCAGCCAATAATCCAAACCATGGCAACCATGTAATGTATCTCATTGAGTGATTACTTAGTAGCTACTGTTAAGTCATTATTTTCACAAGCTCACATTAAGAAATTAAAATTAACCTAATGTCCTACTTAGCTTTAACTGTCAACTTGACACAGCCTAAAGTCTCCTGAGAAGGAAATCTCAACTGAGGGATTTCCCAGATCAGACTGGACTCTGGCCGTGTCTGTGGGGGATTGTCTTGATTATTAATTGATGTGGGAGGACCAAGCCCACAATGGGCAGCACCATTCCTTAGGCAGGTGGTCCTAGGCTCCATAAAAAACTCAATGAGTCATAAGCCTATGAGTGATCCAGGAAGCAGCCTTCCTCCATGTTTTCTGCTTCAAGTTCCTGCTTGATTTCCTGCCCTGCCTTCCTTCAATGATAGACTGTAATCGGTAAGCTGAAATACACCTTTTCTTCCCCTGAGATGCTTTTGGTAAGAGTGCTTTTATCACAGCAACAGAGATGAAACTAGAATACCTGAGTTCCTATTTAAAATAGTCTCAAGTGCTAGTTGTTCACTGGGAGAATAATAAAGTGTTTTGCAATATTCTTATGCTCTTGTTGCCAGAGGCCACATCTCCAAGCATCTCACAGACCTCCATGGAACACCTTTACCAATTTTTGTGTTCTGTACTCAGGAGTCAACGATCAAATCAATGATTGGGTGAGGGAGTATGGAAACTGTGCTCTCTTGCCTGGTCTGGCTCAGGATAACTCTGCAGCATGCTGCTCCTGCACAGTCCCCGGCAGGATGAAGTTGAAGCCACCCTCTTCAGGTCTTTGTGTGAGAAAGTTTCCATCTTGGCATCCTTTCCTACTTTGTTCAGGTTCCCTTTACTGTTTACCTAGGAACATTTCCTTTAAAATCAAGTTCACAAGAATCTGTGTTCTCAGGGCATGCTTCTAATCAACTGCCACCTACAATGCCAGCTTACCATTACTACAGATTGGTTGGTGTGAGGATCCTTAGCATCCCCGGTAAATTGTTCTGATGGACAATTGTTGCAATACTTGCTGCAGCTCCTTCTTCCCACAAATGGATCCATAATCTTCACCCTACATTAATTTTATTTCATCAAAAAAGTGAGACCTGGGGTTTCAAAGATGGCTCAGAGGTTAAGAGCACTGATTGCTCTCGCAGAGGACCTGGGTTCAATTCACAGCACCCATATGGTGGCTAAAAATCAATTGTAACTCCAGTTCTGGCCTCTTCAGGCATTGCCCAACACAGATGCACTTACATGCATGCAGGCAAAGCACTCATATACATAAAATAAAAATAAAATATTTTAAAAGGAGAGACCTTAAACCATAAAAGTATAAAGTCTTAGTTAATAAAAATCTGTATATATACTTGTATGAAAAAAAGAAAAATATGCAGAACATGTCCTGTATAAGTTAAATGAACAGCTCATTTTTTATTTTTATTTTTAAGGTTTGTTTGAATTATTAATTTATAGATGTGTATATGCATGTGCATGAGGGTGCCCACAGAGGCCAGAAGACAGTGTCAAGTCCCCCTGGAGCTAGAATTATAGGTGGTTATGATCCACCCAATGTGGATGCTGAAAACCAAGTTCAAATCCTTTGTAAGAGCAATACATGCTCATAACTGCTAAACCATCTCTCCAGCACCAGAAGTTAATTTTTTAAAACCCTGTATTGTAGTTGTCTGCTTTCCTTACTAAGTGGTTCAGAAATAATTTACATTAACATGTATAGAGTGAAATTGGCCCTATTTATTGTTTGTGTCTTTGTCTTAAAAGCAGTGATTTTCCAGTACCAATGAGTTACAATTCAAAGTATTAAATTATACTATAAGTTAAAGGAATTAGGTTAAATCTGCATATCTATCAATATGTGGAAAATTGGTTTCCAATCAAATTCTTCATATGACATGATTTCTTGTAATTGTCCTACTCAAGGGGTATGTATGCAGCAAAATGTATCTGGGTCTCTTTAGGTTGTGCTTATTCTGATATCTGTGCAGTAAGTCTGTCCATTGGGACACACACCACGACAAACTTAGTGAGAGCTGACCATGAAGAAGGAGCCACCTTATATCACCATATACCACGTTTCAGAGACACACAAAATGTATGACATACCTTTATTCCAAGGGCTTCTCCTGAAATGACAGCAATGGTCACACCATCCTTACTGGGTTTTGGGATGTCTTTACTTTTCAGTTCTTGGTACTGAGGCTCCACCATCTTTTCTGAGCTTCTCAAATTCACCCACAGTTGTAGGCCATGGGCCGGCTCCTCAGAGCAAGGCATCTCAGCATGTAGAATGCCTCGGCCTGCAGTCATCCACTGTCAACACCAAAGTGACAAGAAGCCAAATGTAACCCAACCCATAAGAAGTCTGTATATGCAACAATTACAACACCATGGCTCATGGCTAAGTGACACATCCGACAGATGCTGCTCTGACTTCCACATGTGTCTCACACACACACACACACACACACACACACACAGACACACACACACACACACACACACACACACACACACGCACACAAATAAATAAACGAAATAAAAAATTTAAAGTCTGTGGATTTGATCCCCAGCACCACAGGAAAACAAGTGATTGAGGGGTCAAAGAAAACGTGATAAAAGAATGCAAGAGACACTTGCTGGTTGCCATGAAGAATGCAAGGGTGCATAGAAGGGGAGATGTGATCATGTTGTCAAGTTGACAAAATCTAGAATAACCCAGATAAAGGCCTCTGGGCATGTCTTGGGGGATGATCTTAATTATGTTAATTGATGTGGAAAACCCACCTTGACTGTGGACTGCACTGTTCCTTTGGTAGGGGATCGTGAAAGCCTGAATTGTATAAAATGGAAAAAGTGAGATGAGCACTAACATGCATTGTTGTTCTTTGTTTCTGATTGTAGATGTGATGTGACCAGCTGCATGAAACTCCTAGAGTCTTAACTTCTCCACCATGATGGGTTGTACCTTTATTAGGTACCTAGACAAGCATTAATATCCTTGGAAGTCTTTCAGGATGGACTGCTCCCTGATGACTGAATTTAGATCCCAATTCCTGCTTCCATGATAGCCTTCTCCTAAGGGAAGCATCGACTTTGTCCCTTCTTAAGATTTAATGTACCATTAGAAAAGCTGGAGGTTTCAGGGTTTTGCTGAGGCTCATTAAAGGAAGACTACTTCCTTCTAGTCAAAAGAGTAGTATCAGAGTTCTACCCCTGCACTTGGGTGGAGACAGGACATTCTTTTTTAAAATATTTTATTCATTATTTTTATTTTATGTGTATGAGTGTTATGCCTGCATGTATGTAAGTACACCCATGTTGTGCAATGCCCACAGAGAACAGAAGAGGCTGTCAGGTCCCCTGGAACTGGAGTTACAGACAGTTGTTAGCTGCCATGTGGGTGCTGGGAATCGAACCCAGGTCTTCTGCAAGAAGAGTCGTGTTCTTAACCGCTGAGCCATCTCTCCAGCCCTGAGACAGGACATTCTTAATCTTAAAAGATTAGAACAGGGGGTAAGTCTATAGCGCAGCTCTCCGCGCTGGGACTCCCTAAGCCACATTCACCCTTCCATCCCCCATGCCGTTCTATACTCCTAGTTTGGGCCCTGCGCCATTCCTAGTCTTGGGGCCCCAGACACCTGGGGAACCAATACTGCTTCCTGATCCTTCTCACCCAGACCAAATCAGTCCCCTTCTTGGGCCCCAGGAGCAGTGCTTCTGGTCCTGGCCCTGCCCTCACCTCTCTCTGCTTCCCTGGGCCTGCACCACCGGCTAACTCTCCTAGCCTGCACTGCTATCCTCAGGCCTCCTGGGGTAAGTCTATAGCACAGCTCTCCACGCAGGGACTCCCTAAGCCACATTCACCCTTCCATCACCGCCCCCCTTCTATACTCCTAGTTTGGGCCCTGCGCCATTCCTAGTCTTGGGGCCCCAGACACATGGGGAACCAATACTGCTTCCTGACCCTTCTCACCCAGACCAACTCAGTGCCTTTCTTGGGCCCCAGGAGCACACACTTCTGGTCCTGGCCCCACCCTCACTTCTCTCTGCGTCCTTGGACCTGCACCACTGGCTAACTCTCCTAGCCTGCACTCCTATCCTCAGGCCTC